TTTCATACAATGTCTTATAAAATACACATTTATTTTGAATCTTTATCTTATTATTATACCACAATGGTTCTAACAATATATCTACATCATGAAAATTAAAACTTTCTAAAAATTCAGCAAAATAAAGCAAAGTTTCTTTCCAAAAAATATTTTGTATGATTTTTGCCCTTTGTTTACAATATTCAGATCCAACCTGACAAAGTTTATTAATATTACAACCAGTAATTTCAGAAAAAGTGTTTATCCAGTTTGAATTATTTGTAAATATTCTTCTAATCCATGTTAATTTTAGGGATTTAATAAATGTTTCTATATTAGTCATTCTACATCCACCTCTCTCAAAGTCTAACTGTAACGTTTTTCGGGATATTTTGTCAATTTTATTTCCCCATATGAATTTATACAGAGTTTTTTCTAGTTGCTGTATCCACTGCACACTTGGTTTCGGAAGACAAATAAATAAGTGTGTAAACTTTGATAAAAGCAAACTTTTTACTACCGTTATTTTTCCTAAAGGTGAAATATTTCTTTTAGACCAATGATTTATTTCTTTCTGAATAAGTTTAAATTTATTATCAAAATTAAGCTCTTCCATCTTTTCAAGATTTGCAGTGTATGTTATGCCTAGAACAGTAAATGGTTCATTTGTCCATTTTAATCCTGTATCACTACATAAAGTATTTTCTGTTTTAATTTTAGATCCAATCCAGACTGCTTTTGTTTTTGAAATATTAGGCTTTAATCCAGAGAATTTTGAGAATTGAAAAAGAAGATCAAGTGCACTTTTTAAACTCTTTTCTGATCCATCCAAAAAAAGAACTGTGTCATCTGCATATTGTAGTAGACAGACTTTTTCCTTCCCTATTTTAATGCCTTTGATATTTTTATTTTGTCGTATCATATGTCCTAAAATTTCTACACAAAGGTTAAATAAGTAAGGAGATATCGGGTCACCCTGACGACACCCCCTACCGATTTCAAAAAATTTAGAAAAAATGCCATTTTGAATAACACATAATTTAGCTTTATTATATAGTACTGAAACCCATTTAATAAGGTCAGGGCCAAAATTAAAAAATTGCAACGTATTGTACATAAATTTCCATGATCTGGAGTCAAATGCTTTTTCAAAATCTATTAGTAATATCATACCAGGAATATGGTTTTCATATGTGGCATTAATTACATCATAGATCATTCGTGTATTTTCCCCAATAAATCTATCTCTAAGAAAGCCCTTTTGATTGTCATGAATTAAATAGTTGAGAACGTTTTTAATCCTATTTGCTATACATGATGAAGCAATTTTATATGTAGTATTAAGAAGTGATATTGGTCGCCAATTTGAAAGGAATTCTCTTGGTTTATCACCTGTCGGTAATATAGAAATAATTCCCTGTTTCTGAGTTATGGATAATTCTCCCTCATTAAATCCAAAATTTATTGATCTGATAAGAAAGCTTCCAAGATCCTTCCAAAAAAATTTAAAAAATTCTACTGTAAAGCCATCACTACCTGGACTTTTATCATTATTCATTTTTTTTAACGCAGATAGGGCTTCTTTATATGTTATACATCCTTCTAAATTATTGGACATGTTGTCATCCAGAACCCTGATATCATCTTTATTAATTATATGTTCTAGATTCACATCTTGTAATTTATTATCAAAGCAAGAGTATAGGTTCTTATAAAATTTCTCAATTTCTGATAAAATTTCTTCCTGTGAAGTAATAATATTACCATTGCTGTGCATGAGTTGGTTCACAGTTTTATTAATAAAATTTCTTCTTTCTAAACTAAGAAAATATCTTGTCGGTTTTTCACCCTGTTCAATCCACTTAAGTTTTGTTCTAACAAAAAGCCCTTTTATATATTCTTTTCTTATTTCTTCTAAGCTATTTTGGGCAGCATTTAATTTTTCTATAATTTCTGTTGAACTATTAATATTTCTCAGTGATTCTAAATATTTTATTTCGTTTTCAAGTAAATTAATTTTTTCGTTTTTTAATTTCTTTTTTATAGAACAATATTGAATTGTAGCACCTCTTATACTCAGCAAAAGTTGCTCAAAAAATAATTGATCATCTATGAGTAGAGATAATTCCTCATTTTCAATTTTATGTATACATACTGGATTATACGGAAAGACAGCATATTGTTCCTTTACTTTTCGTATAGTATTTTTTACAATGTTTACATAAGACTGATCCCTGAGTAAAGAATTGTTAAACTTCCAAAATCCTTTCCCCTTTTCAAATTTGGTCAATTTAATTTCTATAGAAACCATTGAGTGGTCAGACTTATATCCAGGTATAATATCAACGTTATCTAATAAAGCAAAAAGTTCGTTAGATAATAGGAAAAAATCAAGTCTAGCTTTTTTAAGAGGATTGGTTTTAAACCAAGTATACCTTTTACGTTGTTCATATTTCACTCTCCAAGGGTCGGTCAAACCATGCTCAACTTTCATATTCAGAACTGTTTCCCTTGCCTTTTTATTATTTACATTATTATAATTAAAGTAATCTAAATTTGCATCTTGTACAAGGTTAAAATCTCCACCCCAAATTACAAATTCTCCTTGAAAATTTGAAATTATGTCAGATACTGATTGGAAAAATTTTGGATCATCATTATTCGGTCCATATACATTTACTAATAAAATATCATATTTATTAAATACATTAATCTCCAGAACAAGCAGGTTACCTGCTTTATCTTTTTGTTCATTTAGTATTTTATATTCAAAATTATTGTTGAACAAAATTGCGACACCTCTAGAATTTGATTGACCAGGTGATATGTAAACATCATAGCCCCAAAGAGATCTAACTTGTGAATAATCATCAAGAGTAAAATGAGTATCTTGTAAAAAAGTAATTGAGAAATTTTTCTGTTTTAAATAGTTAAGCACGTCTCTCCTCTTTTCTAGTCCCCCAAGCCCTCTACAATTAAATGTTAAAATATTAAAACTCATTTCACTATTCCGTAGCCACCTGTATTACACAATCTATAACTTGCTTTGACAAGTAAATGTTGTCTAAAAACAAAATTGTACGTTCAAGGCATTTTCGATTGAAATAAAATTTCTTTTCCAACAAACAAACATACATACATCTTTCACACAAAGACAAACACAGACAAACAAACAAAAATATTTGCATAATTCCTGGATGGCTCACAAGTTGACAAGTTTAATGTTACTTATACCTTGTTTTCGTTGTCATCACAGTGACAGTCACGTCCATTTTATTTCACCGGATATACATGCGTCCTCGACTAACTAAAGAACCAAGTCCGGATCGCCTCATCTTTTCCGTATTTTCTTGTCAATATCATCGTATAAATCAAATTTGATTCTTCGTTTCCCGCATTCTCCGTAAATGTGTCCATTAAAGTACCATGCCGCGGATATTCTGTGGTCCTGCAGGAGTCTTGTTATAAGGGCTGCATTCTCTTGTGTCACGTCATCCGTTACTTTGACCTTGACATCATTCTGTAACTCTAGTTCTTTAATGTCCGATCGCTTCTTCATGACCTTTACTTTGGCTTCCATGGTTTTAAGCTTTATTATAATTGGCCGATGTTGGTCTTTCTTTCCTGGAATCCTATGGATTGCTAGAACGTCATCTTCTTTAATCTGTTCGCCCACTTCCTCGAGCACTTCATTCACAACCTGTAAGGGTTCTTCCCCTTTCTTCTCTGGTAAACCATGAATTTTTAAATTATTCTTCCTCGAATATTGTTCATTGAAATTTGTTTTTGAAATTGCTGACCTTGTCATCCATTCGTTTTCTTCCGTTCTGTTATGCAAGTCGTTTAATACTTCTTCGTGCTCCCTAATTTCTTTCTGCAAATCTTTGTTTTCCTGATGTAGTTTCTCATTCTCTTCTCTGAGTTTTACGACTTCATCGTTCAATTTCTTCTCAAACTTTTCTTGGTAACTACTAAATAATTCTTCTACAACACTTCTCACAACTGTTTGAATATCACTAACCTTTATTGTCTTTTTGAGTTCGTTGTTAATCTCGGTCAGCTGTGTTTGAATTGAATCCATTGTTATTTGCATGGAATTTTCCTGCGTACGTTTTGGAGAGGACTCAGAGGAAAGAATTCCCTTCTGGCTATCCTTTTGACTGTCTTTTGGAGATTTGCTAGTAGCTGGAGTAGAACCTTTACGAGTAGTAACACCAGTAGAAGGCATCTTAAAATATTTGTCAATAGTACTCATGTAGATCTACAGGCTATAAATAGATTTTACTTACTACACTATCATTTCGATCTAATTCCTTAAAAATACCACTCCTAGATTTCAAATAAGGAAACCACTGCATGTATCCGCCCTGAGCAAGTCTGAATTCACAGTTTGACCATGTTTCAGTCCTATAAAACTTGTCAACTCGGCCGCTCCACGCTCCCTCACTCGACGCGTCTTACCTCGAGCGGCGCCATTTTGGAATTTCTCGTTCATGAAATCTGGTCCTCTTTACCGCTTCACTATATAAGAAGTTTATATCAAAGTCTACCCAAACGAATTAGGGCAGTTTTGAAAGCCAAGGGACACATCACAAAGTACTAGTCATAAAGGTTAGTTTTATGCTGTTACATATAATTAAATTTAGGTTTTACTTTTGATATGTACTTAGGTTTACGCAAAACGTCGGCCATTTTGGGAACATACTTATGGCCAACTACTGTACATTTATTTTAGAAATATTATGATTACACAGGACCCATATTCACTTTTACTATCTAGGACTTTCAATTATTCTAATATACACATAACACTACAACCTCTAAGATTTTTTGTTGTACAAATATCAGTACTGGAGTTTTATGAAGAGACTTACTTTTAAAATCGACGACTGACTTTTACAATTTAAACTCTGACCAACTACCACTACTGAAAATGTAAAAGTCAGCTGTCGAATGTAAAAGTAAGTCACTTCATAAAACTCCACAAGCACATGGATTTGAAAATGTTCATGTAGTTTTGGACCATAATATGTAATAAAAGTTAGGATGTAAAATACTACAATATTCTATTTTTTAAACATGTATTACCATACATGGTATCCGATATGTACAGATATATAATTTAAATGAAATCATGGGAAGGGTTTACATTCCGGGGGAATGAATCATTTAAACTAAGAGAATGAATTATACAATCTGAGATAACGGATTGTGTAATTTGAGGGAATGAATTGATAATCTGTGAGAATGAATTGGCAATTTGTTATAACAGATTGTCAATCCCAGAGAACGGATTGTATAAATCAAGAACTCGGTTTACTTTTATAAATTTTTTAAAATTCTATATCCCTTCATAGCTTTCATAGATTTCATACCTAAACGGCTGCCAGGGTAGCAAAAAGAAAGGAGACAATAGACTGCAATGTTACTTCAGGGCAAAATTCCTGGGTCAAGGCTGTTCGTGAGCATGGGAGTGTTGATAAACCATCCAGTGAGTTTGACCACCCATGTATATGATGTACGATAATTGGAAAGTGTCTGAAAAATTGAGAAAATGGAAATCCTAACCACATACTTTATGCAGATTGGAAATACAACAGGCAGTCTATAAAAACAGCTTGTTCCATATATCGGCATTCATTCAAATAGATATTACAAGTTTAAATAATGCGTCTGTATGAATAATCAAGCATCATAAGTATTAGGCTTAAAAAAAAATATGTTTGTTTCCTGTAACATTCAGGTCCAGTACAAAGACTATTTCTACCTACGTAGCTATTTTTACCTACTTTATATAATTTCTGCATTTTGCGACCAAAAGACAAAAAGGCGCAACATGGTAAATACCATATTTTTTATATATGGTCACACTAATGATGAATACGACAAAAATTTGGCCAAAAATGATTACTTCCTGAATCGGCAATTTTACATTAGTTTCTATGCAAAATTGATAATATACGAAGTTTTCATTTTTTGGCCAAATTTTTGTCATATTCATCTTTAGCTTCAGTGTGACTGTATCAAGAAATTGTGTGCTCACCATGTTGCGCCGTTCCTGCATTTGACTACAAAATGCAAGTAAAGCAGAAAGTAGGTAAAAATAGCTACTTTGGGTAGCTTTAAATACCTACGTAGCTATTAATACCTACGTAGGTAGAAATAGTCTTTGGACTGGACCTGACATTCCCAAAAAATTAAGGGTCGGTAGGTCGGGATTTTTGTTTTTTTTTTTTTTTTTTGATTATGAATGGTCAAACATCCCCGGACTGAATATACTAGGTGTCATATTTACAGTGGACACCCAACATGGCATCCAAAATGGCTGCCAAGAGGCAGAAAACGAACTTCAGCATTGTAGGGGGAAATAGTTGTTATAATAATGATTACTCTTAATAAATAAGGTAAATGTAAACTAGGTTGACATATTTTATGTCTCAATTTAAGCTACAAGCGAATTTTCTTTTTTTTTATAAATGGAATCAGCTGATTGATCAAACGAAGTTTTGACATTTGTCAGAAAAAAAAATCCACCCGAGGGTAATTTGAATGGGTCGGTCGGGTTACAGGAAACAAACTTATTTTTTTTAGGCCTTATGTGTTTCAAACTTATTTTTCAAAATGTAAATCAAATGTTTATAAACTTGTATGAAATTCAATGCAATATCATGAGAATGACATAAATGAAATTAGACTTTATTTTTTGAAATTTTAGAAATACTGAAATTTTCAATACCAAAACAAAAATTTACCTGTTCATTGGTGTCCTTACATATTTATTGACCTTCGTAGTTCATCGTGGGCTTAGAAAGTGGATATTCACAGATGAAAGTATTGTTGCACCCTAAAAATTCAATGTGAAAGTGGTACATGTACACACTGGTACACACATACTGAAAACAACTATCCATTATTATGACAACTTTGATTTTACTTTGAACTTACGAGGGATTGTCAAAAGCATCAAAGTTCAAAAACAATGCAAAATTGGCTGAACGATACGAAATACGCACACTGAAACATAAAGATCTAGGCCTAGTACATATGTACATTTAGTTTTCTTTTGAACGTAAACTATTGCGTTTTAAACTTAAACTTTTCAGTCAATATACACGTATTCTCACCTGCTAATACCAAAGGCATATCCGTATTATTTGATTCATTGATGTGATGATCTTCGTCGTGAAATAATCATGAAAATTGACGTTCAGATTTCGGATCATGTTGTTGTTTACAGGTATCACAGGTGGCAGAGGATAGTTTTTTTTGCAATCAAAACGTTTGACTGACGGTTTACTTAATATTGAGCTGCTTTAAAAATGTGCATTGAAAAATTTTAAATTCCCTCTACATGTAATAATAGTATGATATAGTCCCTTGAGAAATTTGAAGCTTTTAGGAATAAAACATGTACAACTTACACAATGAGCCCTAAAGATCGCGCAGGGACAATCTCAAAATTTCATGCAAATCAAGCCTATTTTCACTATTTCGCCGCAGCCGCATCTGCTTCCAGGCCCGTGCGCCTGACCTAAGCTACCACACAAATTGCAGAATAACATTTGTACATACCAATGAACAGCAAGAGATAATGGCTCAACCACCTCGTTTTCAAGCTACAATTCATCCTGTGAACCCACCCCGCTTTTCTGGTGAAATACCGGTAGAGCGAGTTTTGAGCTTAGTTTCGTATTTCTAGTCCATATCCCATATACAGTAGTAGTGACACTAAAGTGTCATATTTCAATAAAATATACAAGGCCACCAATTCCCTCCAAATGCACCCATAAAATATTCTAGCTATAAAATTACCTATAATATGCATTCAAACCTCAGGTTTCTCTATTTTTTCTATTTTTTGACCGGTACTTTATTCGAAACTATCCTCTGCCACCTTTAACTTTCAAAGTTTGTCTTGCAAGTAATAAACCTTGCTCAATTCAAAAAGAACATGCAATTCTGAGTAAAAATATACCAAATATGTCTTGATTCATTGAAAAATAAAAAAGTTATGGCCAAATAAGAGACCTCACAAATTCTCGGTCAACCACCTTAACCCCATATTGTTTCTTACACATGAAACAAATGCAATTCTTACAACTCCAGATGATAAATATACCAGCAAAAAAGTGTAAAATGGTAATTTTAATCTCTTTCAAATACATTTATATGTAAAAAGTCAAATATAAAGGGCACATCTTGGTGAAATGTACTCACATGTATCACATACTCCCCTATTTTTCATGTTCTATGAAATTCCATTTTATCTCCTTTTCACTTGGTTTTATATACCTATAACTTCTTTGCAAAGTTAAAACCCCTTTCAACTTTCAAGATATTTATCATGATATGCAAAAAACCCTCTTGCATCATATGCTAAAGAAAAAGTGTCCAGGAAATGGCTGTTCAACACCCTACCCCTGCAGCCATTTCTTCAGTGTAATGAAAATGCACTGTAAAAATGTGTTTGTCCTAGCTGAATTCTTTCTAAGTGTCTGATATTCACTTTTAACAGTTATGAGTAATCAAATACATACATTTCATTCTCCTGAATACTAAAAGTGATTATTCTGTCCATCCTGGGCAATTGTGGGCAGATTATATGGGCCTAGCAGAATTCAATAATTACATGAAATTGCACATTTTATTGATATTACTTCATTAAATATGCACTATAACCTCTTTGTTTTGTTATTATTCAAAGAAAAATAGTCATTTTATAGCAAACCATTGAAAAATTTAGATTCTGTCACATTTAAATATAAATAAATTTAAAAATTGAAAAGGGGGGGGGCATATTTCATGAAAATATCAATACATGTAACAGAATAGGTTAAATTTGGAAAAATAAAGCAAAAAAAAAAAGTTTTTTTGTGCTATATATGGTTAGGTTTAGTGAGATTTAGGTATGCTGACTGATTTTTATTTTCAAAATAATTATATTTAGTAAATTAGGTTGAAAAAATGGCAAATATATGTAATTTCAATGATATCGCACTAATTAATACACTAAAATTTTAATTAGATTTAATTAATTAAAGCAAGACATGATTTTAATTATGCGACAATACCCAAAGTATCAAATTGAAGCAATTAATTTATTCTCAGGCAAAAAATGCCTGAATCTTATATGATTTATTTTGCTGATGGTTCAAAGTCTTTAAAAATGTGTGCCGGAAAAGAGTAACCCCCCTTGCTTTTTAGTGAATATACCTAACTGTACAGATTTTAAATAACAGAAACAAAGTATTTTTTTAAAATTGACTTAATAAATAAACCCTTTTGTATAAAAATCAGACTAGAATTCACATTTCTAAAAATTGATGCATTCTTGAAGGTGGCAGAGGATAGTTTTTTTTGCAATCAAAACGTTTGACTGACGGTTTACTTAATATTGAGCTGCTTTAAAAATGTGCATTGAAAAATTTTAAATTCCCTCTACATGTAATAATAGTATGATGTAGTCCCTTGAGAAATTTGAAGCTTTTAGGAATAAAACATGTACAACTTACACAATGAGCCCTAAAGATCGCGCAGGGACAATCTCAAAATTTCATGCAAATCAAGCCTATTTTCACTATTTCGCCGCAGCCGCATCTGCTTCCAGGCCCGTGCGCCTGACCTAAGCTACCACACAAATTGCAGAATAACATTTGTACATACCAATGAACAGCAAGAGATAATGGCTCAACCACCTCGTTTTCAAGCTACAATTCATCCTGTGAACCCACCCCGCTTTTCTGGTGAAATACCGCTAGAGCGAGTTTTGAGCTTAGTTTCGTATTTCTAGTCCATATCCCATATACAGTAGTAGTGCATATTTCAATAAAATATACAAGGCCACCAATTCCCTCCAAATGCACCCATAAAATATTCTAGCTAAAAATTACCTATAATATGCATTCAAACCTCAGGTTACTCTATTTTTTCTATTTTTTGACCGGTACTTTATTCGAAACTATCCTCTGCCACCTTAAATTTAACTTTCAAAGTTTGTCTTGCAAGTAATAAACCTTGCTCAATTAAAAAAGAACATGCAATTCTGAGTAAAAATATACCAAATATGTCTTGATTCATTGAAAAATAAAAAAGTTATGGCCAAATAAGAGACCTCACCAATTCTCGGTCAACCACCTTAACCTCATATTGTTTCTTACACATAAAACAAATGCAATTCTTACAACTCCAGATGACAAATATACCAGCAAAAAAGTGTTAAATGGTAAATTTAATCTATTTCAAATAAATTTATATGTAAAAAGTCAAATATAAAGGGCATATCTTGGTGAAATGTACTCACATGTATCACATACTCCCCTATTTTTCATGTTCTATGAAATTCCATTTTATCTCATTTTTACTTGGTTTTATATACCTATAACTTCTTTGCAAAGTTAAAACCCCTTTCAACTTTCAAGATATTTATCATGATATGCAAAAAACCCTCTTGCATCATATGCTAAAGAAAAGGTGTCCAGGAAATGGCTGTTCAACACCCTACCCCTGCAGCCATTTCTTCAGTGTAATGAAAATGCACTGTAAAAATGTGTTTGTCCTAGCTGAATTCTTTCTAAGTGTCTGATATTCACTTTTAACAGTTATGAGTAATCAAATACATACATTTCAATTCTTCTTGAATACTAAAAGTGATTATTCTGTCCATCCTGGGCAATTGTGGGCAGATTATATGGGCCTAGCAGAATTCAATAATTACATGAGAATGCACATTTTATTGATATTACTTCATTAAATATGCAATATAAACTCTTTGTTTTGTTATTATTTAAATAAAAATAGTCATTTTATAGCAAACCATTGAAAAATTTAGATTCTGTCACATTTAAATATAGATAAATTTAAAAATTGAAAAGGGGGGGGGCATATTTCATGAAAATATCAATAACAGAATGGGTTAAATTTTAAAAAATAAAGCAAAAAATGTTTTTTTGTACTATATATGGTTAGGTTTAGTGACATTTAGGTAAGCTGACTGAATTTTATTTTCAAAATAATTATATTTAGTAAATTAGGTTGAAAAAATGGCAAATATATGTAATTTCAATGATATCGCACTAATTAATACACTAAAATTTTAATTAGATTTAATTAATTAAAGCAAGACATGATTTTAATTATGCGACAATACCCAAAGTATCAAATTGAAGCAATTAATTTATTCAGATGGTTCAAAGTCAAAAAAGATATCGCAGATTTTAAATTGAATCTTACTTAATTTATTTTGCTAGAGTCTTTAAAAATTGAAAAATAAAAAAGTTATGGAAAAGAGTAACCCCCCTTGCTTTTTTGAAATTAAACTGTAGATTTTTAATAACAGAAACAAAGTATTTTTTTAAAATTGACTTAATAAATAAACCCTTTTGTATAAAAATCAGACTAGAATTCACATTTCTAAAAATTGATGCATTCTTGAAAATGGCTGAATCTTATATGATTTTTTTTTGCAATATAAAACGTTTGACTGAGTCATTTTTACTTAATATTGAGCTGCTTTAAAATTAAAAATTTTAAATTGAAAAAAATATGTTTTCAGTGATAAAATAATAGTATGAATTTATCCCTTGAGAAATTTGAAGCTTTTAGGAATAAAACATGTACAACTTACAAAGTATTTTTTAAATAAAACCCTTTGGTAGGGAAAATTTCAAAATTTCATGCAAAATTCACATTTTAATTCCAGGCCCGTGCCTGAACTTTCAAAACTGCAATTGCAAGCAAGAGATAATGGTAAACCTCGTTTTCAATACAATTCATCCTCAATGTATCAAAATGAAATATAGAGCAGTTTTGAGTAAAGTTACAAAATATCCCATATACAGTAGTAGTGACACTAAAGTGTCATATTTCAATAAAATATACAATTATTCCCTCCAAATGCACCCATAAAATTGTGGGAAATCAATAATTACATGAGAAGCACATATCTAGCTAAAAATTACCTATAATAATTCAAATTGAAATATTTAGATTCTGTCACATTTAAATTTAACTTTCAAAGTTTGTCTTGAAATTAACAAACCTTACTCAATTCAGAAAGAACATGCAATTCTGAGTAAAAATATACCAAATATGTTTGATTTTTGAAAAATAAAAAAGTTATGGCCAAATAAGAGACCTCACTTATATGATTTATTATGCTGATGGTTCAAAGTCTTTAAACCACCTTAACCCCATATTGTTTCTTGACACATAAAACAAATGCAATTCTTACAACTCCAGATGACAATATATACCAGCAAAAAAGTGTTAAATGGTAAATTTAATCTATTTCAAATACATTTATATGTAAAAAGTCAAATACAAAGAGCACATCTTGGTGAAATGTACTCACATGTATCACATACTCCCCTATTTTTCATGTTCTATGAAATTCCATTTTATCTCTTTTTCACTTGGTTTTATATACCTATAACTTCTTTGCAAATTTAAAACCCCTTTCAACTTTCAAGATATTTATCATGATATGCAAAAAACCCTCTTGCATCATATGCTAAAGAAAAGGTGTCCAGGAAATGGCTGTTCAACACCCTACCCCTGCAGCCATTTCTTTTTAATGAAAATGCACTGTAAAAATTGTTTGTCCTAGCTGAATTCTTTCTAAGTGTCTGATATTACTTTTAACAGTTATGAGTAATCAAATACATACATTTCATTCTCCTGAATACTAAAAGTGATTATTCTGTCCATCCTGGGCAATTGTGGGCAGATTATATAATACACTTAAATTTTAATTAGCAGAATTCAATAATTAGCACATAATTTAGACTTCATTAAATATGCAAATAAACTCTTTGTTCTGTTATTATTCAAAGAAAAATAGTCATTTTACAGCAAACCATTGAAAAATTTAGATTCTGTCACATTTAAATATAGATAAATTTAAAAATTGAAAAGGGGGGGGCATATTTCATGAAAATATCAATAACAGAATGGGTTAAATTTTAAAAAATAAAGCAAAAAATGTTTTTTTTGTACTATATATGGTTAGGTTTAGTGACATTTAGGTAAATGACTGAATTTTATTT